GCATATTCGGTAAGATAAATATGTTTTACATGATATTTTTACAAAATATTTGAAATTCTATAATTAAATAATTGAATTAATTTACTTCAATTAAATGAAAATCTTATGTACATCTTATGTATTCTTATCATGTTTACGCTATCTTTTACTTCTATGTATAATTTTTGATACTTTATTACCTTTCATTATATTTTTATAATATTTTTATAATTTATACAATTTAATAATTGATATTTCCTTTTTTTAGTTAGTTATTAAAAACTTAAAGAACGAAGTCACGAAGAAAGTACAAATTCCAAATTGTGACGAAATATTTTATGCCGGTACTGGTATGTTGCTTTTGCGCGATCCGGAACAAGTAACACTGTTTGATGTACAACAGAAAAGAACATTGGCAGAAGAAAAAATCGCCAAGTGTAGATATGTTGTATGGTCCAGCGACATGTCTCATGTTGCACTGCTAGCCAAACATACCGTCAACATTTGTAATCGTCGGTTAGAATCTCTCTGCTGCATACACGAAAACACTAGAGTAAAGTCCGGCGCTTGGGACGATTCCGGCGTATTTATTTACACGACCAGCAATCACATTAAATACGCAATTAGCAATGGTGATTACGGCATCATTCGTACGTTAGATTTACCGATATATGTTACGAGAGTAAAAGGCAATCAAGTTTATTGCTTGGACCGAGAATGTAAGCCGAGGATTCTCCGAATAGATTCAACGGAATACAAATTCAAGCTAGCATTAATTAACAGGAAATACGAGGAAGTTTTACATATGGTTCGCAACGCAAATCTTATTGGGCAATCAATTATAGCGTACTTGCAGCAAAAGGGATATCCAGAAGTGGCTCTTCATTTCGTGAAAGATGAAAAGACCAGATTCGGTCTTGCACTTGAATGTGGAAATATCGAAGTCGCGTTGGAAGCGGCGAGATCGCTCGATCAAAAATCATGCTGGGAGAATTTGGCGCAAACGGCTTTACTGCAAGGCAATCATCAAGTTGTGGAAATGTGCTATCAAAGAACTAAGAACTTCGAGAAATTGGCTTTCCTTTATTTAATAACTGGTAACTTGGAAAAGCTACGCAAAATGATAAAAATCGCAGAAATTCGGAAAGATGTGTCTGGTCAATATCAAGGAAGTTTACTTCTTGGAGATATTTATGAACGGGCTAAGATTTTACGGGTATATTATATATCTATTAATTAATAATTCTGTATATACAGGGTGTCTGATAATTAACGATAAAACTCGCATAGCGGCAGAATGGACTAAACTGAATCGAAAGGTCTACTATTTTGCAATTTTTCGCAATAGTTAATAAGATTAATTACTAAAAATTATCGAATATTGATCTTCAATAATTTTTTTACTCAAATAGTATCAACTTTATAGAAAAACAGCAAGAGACAAAAATTGTTTAGTTTCTTCTCATAGAGAAGAATATTTCTAAGAATTTTTTCAGAATTATTTATCAACTTTTTAGTACTGCATTTTCTTATACATATATATTGACAACTATTTTTACCAACATGAGAAAATACGGTACTAAAAAATTTTGAAAAAATTCTGAAAAAATTCTCAGAACTTTGAGAAGAAAATAATATTTTTGTCTCTTACTGTTTTTCTGTAAAGATGATAATATTTAAAAGATAATATTTGAGTAAAAAATTATTGAAAATCAATATGCAGCGATTTTTAGAAATTAATATCTTGTTAACTATTGCGAAAATTGCAAAATTGAAGACTTTTCGATTCAGTTTAGTCTATTCTACCGCTATGCGAGAGTTTTATCATTAATTATCAGACACCCTGTATAATCAGAACTCTTCATTAATTGTGATTATTAATTACAATTAAAATATATAAATAAGTATGTTTTACAACACTGCGTAAAAATTATGTATAAATTTCTGTCCACAGAACTCTGGACAAGCATCGTTGGCATATGTTACTGAGAAAATTCACGGAATATCAAATGAAGAGGATGATGGCGAGTATGAATCGATGAGCGAGGAACTTTCTGCGCTGGAGAAAGGTGCCACATACCTTCGTCCACCTGTACCTATTCAACAAGCTGAGAACAACTGGCCCTTGTTGACTGTTTCTAAAGGCTTTTTCGAAGGCGCAATGATGTCTCGCAGCAGGACTCAAGTAGCTGCTGCTCTTGCTCTGGAAGACAATGGTGAAGCAACCCCCGAAGGATGGGGCAATGACGAGGAACTCGGTATAGATGACGAAGAAGGCGTAGACACGGAAATTGTGCCAGAAGGTGAAGAAAATCCTGGCTGGGATGTCGAGGATGTCGATCTTCCACCAGAACTCGAAGCTGCAGCGACTTCCGACGAAAGCAATAATTATGAATGTCTACCTACTAAAGGGGTTTCACCACCACAGCATTGGATTAATAATTCTAAATTGGTAGTTGATCATATATTGGCTGGATCGTTTGAATCGGCTTTCAGACTATTAAATAATCAAGTCGGAGTTGTGGAGTTTGGGTCTTATCAATCTCTATTCTTAAATACGTACTCTCGCTCCAGAACATCCTATGCTTGTTTACCTAGTATACCATCGTTATATGGATATCCTCAAAGAAATTGGAAGGATACTAACTGGAAAGATACCACATCTAAAACAGGTTTACCTGCGGTGGGATTGCATCTTACTGAATTAGTTCAGCGTCTTCAAGTGTGTTATCAGTTGACGACCAATGGCAAGTTTGCCAAGGCGATAGAAAAGCTGCAGAGTATCTTGCTAAGTGTACCATTACTCGTTGTCGATACTAAGCAAGATATTGCAGAAGCTCAACAGCTGATTCAGATTTGTCGCGAGTATATCTTAGGCTTAAAGATGGAAACTGAGCGTAAAAACCTGCCAAGAGCCACATTAGCAGAACAGAAAAGGATTTGCGAAATGGCAGCTTATTTTACGCATTGCAATCTACAACCTGTACATCAAATTCTTACTCTTCAAGTAGCTGTGAATTTGTTCTACAAACTAAAGAATTTCAAAACCGCCGCTTCGTTCGCGAGAAGATTACTCGAGCTTGGACCAAATCCAGAACTTGCACAAAAAATTCGAGTTTTGTTACAGGTAATTTTATTTTTTATCGTAAATTAATATTTATATATATAATTAATTGCTATAAATGAAAAATTTAATTTGTTCTTTTTTCAGTCTTGTGACAAGAATCCTGTTGACGAGCATAAATTAGTGTACGACGAGCACAATCCATTCTCATTGTGCGCAAGCACATTCACACCCATTTACAAAGGAAAACCGGAAGTAAAATGCCCCTTATGTGGTGCCAGCTACTGTCCACAGTTTAAAGATACAATATGTAAAATATGCGAAGTCGCGTTGATAGGCAAAGAACATTAATATTCCATTTATACCGTTATCAATTTATGAATTTTTCAATCAGAGGAATGAAACATTATTCCTCTCAAGAAATCTACAGATTTCCTTAATTATAAGATACACAGTTTTAATAATTTCAAATTAGAAATTAAAAGAGAAGCAAGAAATATTTCTAGCTTTAACAAAAAGTAGTTGTACTTTAGCATTGCGTAAGATTTGAATCTTGAACATACTCCTAAATATTGTCTATTAATTGAATGTGACAATTTCTTTTGTATATTTCTAGCTCTATTTTAATTTACAGCATTATTTTGCTTTATAATATGTGTTAAAAGTAGACATAAAAGTATAATGCATTATCCGAGATAAATATCTCAACCTAGGATGATTTATAAGAAAATAAAAATATTTATGTAAAAAGAGTGCAATGTTTGCGAATAAAATCATACAAATTCTTATCATATTACCGAGTTACGATAAATTCCTTATAGGTATCTGCAGAGTATCCCGTAATTCATTCGATAACGCTAGTGAGCAGGTAGAGCGGACTAAATTGAATCGAAAAGTCCTCTACCATTTTGCAATTTTCGCAACACTTAACAAGATATTAATTATTGTCGAATATTGATCTTCAATAATTTTTTTCTCAAATACTATCAATTTTACAGAAAAACAGCAAGAGACAAAACTTATTTATTTTCTTCTCATAGAACTCTAAGAATTGTTTCAAAATTTTTTATCAACTTTTTAGTGCTGCATTTTCTTATTTTCATCAACATGAAAAAGTATGGTATTAAAAAATTCTGAAAAAATTCTCAGAATTTTATGAGAGGAAAATAAACAATTTTTGTTTCTTGCTTTTCTGTAAAGTTAATAGTATTTGAATAAAAAATTATTGAAAATCAATATTTAGCGATTTTTAGTAAAAAATATCTTGTTAATAAAATGTTGCGAAAATATGGGACACCTTGTATAATATATAAAATCAAAATGTAAAGAGTTGGAACAAAGCCTATACTCTACTTTGTGTAAAATTTGGTTTATAATATCTAATCTATCAACGTATATAAAAAATTGATTAATTATCTACATAAAATTTAAAAATTCTTTAGAAAGCCTTTATTCCAGCAATAATTTGCAATTAAATAATATCTTTATATACAATTATTTTATATAGATACATTGAAATACTTTGAAGAGCTCTGCACAAGGGAAGAAATATTAAATATTAGAGATGCAAAAAATTAGAAATATAAAATTAAACATTAAACGTAACGCACAAATGGTTCAAAATTATTCTTAATTTTTTATTACTCTAATATTTAATATTTATTGTTATTTCTAATATTTCTTTCATTTTTGTGCGTAAGGGTTCTTAGTAATTTTCTGGACAATTTTCATAATTTTCTGAACCCCTGATTGGTTGATTTTTTGTCCTTACTCTAGTGACAAATTTTTACCTTCAAGTTGGACTAATCGAAACGAGGATCGACCACGAAAGCAGCCTCGAAAATCGAATCGATTAAACGCTCGGATGCAACGTTTCCCTACACTATTCCGCAGAACGGCGTCGGTTGGCAATGCGCTTGTTACTGCTCGTCACCGACGCGTTGTGTGCAATGGTGGACGAGGTCCGCAAAGGCCGCTCGTGCGCGCCATCGAGCTACCGAAGATTCCGGCAGTTTTCCCGATAAGTACAACGGAATCGCTCGTCGCCGGTGATCGATAATCACGTCTACATTCATCAAGAGCATCGGCTTGCGGATACGCGTCGCTTTGCTCAGCGTTGCTCGATCGTTCTACAGTGATATCTTGCCGCGCCGTTTTTCGTTCGTTTTGACGCAGGTTTCACCGCGAGAGGGTACGGTAGCAGTGGCAGCGGGCGAAGAGGTGAGAGTGAGAGCGAAAATCGGTGCGCGCGCGCACACAGAACGCTCTCAGGCTCCCCGAAATCGACAACGACGCCGCCGCTACTATCACCACCACCACCGCCACTACTACCACTACTAATTATTCTCGAGAATCTCATCGATTGTTCTCGATTGTCTCGAGAAGCTCGATAGTCGCAATACGAGCGGATCTTGCGTCGCAATCGCGTATTCGCTCGGATCGCAGCGCGTGCCGAGTCGTCACTCTAGCGTTCCACGTTGTCGACGGCCGTAAACACCGCGTATACATAAATACGGACGCATACGAATACTTGCGCGTCGAGGCACACACACGGTGCGCGTCATCTCTTCTGTACGTGTGTACGTGTTGCGCGCCGTTGGGACGTATACTGTTCTCGGAGCGGCGAGTCTCGGCGCCCCTAGAGTTGGTTCGCGATCCGCGGCTTTTGTCACCGATTGCAAGTGCGGTGGACGCGAGCCGCGAGCGCGCGTTAACGAACGAGTGAAACAGCCGATCGCCGGACGTTCGGACGTCGCGGCACGGTGTTCGAAACGTCGGAAGCGAATACGAGTGCGCGCGGGAGGAGATCGCGCTGTGAAACGGCACTTTCAGTGAGGTTAGAATCGGGACGTGCAGCGTCGAGAGCGGTGCGATTCGAACGGCTCGAAGAAGTGGTGTAAGTTTAACGAAAATTCGAGTTGGTTCTCGAGTATTACTGCTGTCGTCGGAAGCCGTCGACGACTACCGTCAGTGCCGTCACGACAGACGGGCTGCGGTTTCTGTGATAAAAGGGGGGGGGGGACGCCCGTGTAAATCCTCCGAGCGTCGCGCAAAGAAATAACCAAGTGGCAGCGAACGACAAGTAGCAAACTGCGAGGAGAACGACGTTGGTAGTGCTAGTGGTGTTGTATGACCGCGCGGTATGAAAAAATGATGTGATCGACGGTCATCATGGCGGCACCCATGCTAAAGTGGAAGCGGATCGCGAATCCGACCGGGCCCCAGCCGCGACCCAGGCATGGCCACCGGGCGGTCGCCATTAAGGATCTCATGGTCGTTTTTGGCGGCGGGAATGAGGGTATCGTAGACGAGCTACACGTATACAATACAGGTGAGTTGATCCCCCGGAGTGTACTCGGCGCGCTACGCCGTGCGTCCCTTTACTTTACTTTATGTACGCCGCGCGGCGCCGTACCTGGCGAGTGGCGATTCCCGCGAACCAATATGGCGGCATACGTTGACAAGACCGTGACCGGCCGGGATCCTGGGGCGAACGCGTCGATTTCGCCTCCCGAACGGAACGGACGGCGTCCGGGCCCGGCGTTCGCCGTCGAGCCCGATCGCGCCAGCGTCCTCGTTCCCTCGGGACAGCCGCTCGGTCCTGACGGACCTGCGAAATCGTCACGGTCTGTCATTCTACATGTTTATACGCGCGGGAGCGGCCATTGCTGTCTCTAACGTTCCCCCTCCCTCGTTCCTGCTCGTTTCCCTCCCCCGACCCCCCCAATGCCGCTATGCAACGCGCCGAGCAGTTTCCCGTCATTCCACGTTCGCGCTCCTCCGCTTTTCTTTCTCCTTTTTTCCTTTCGTTCTCGTTCCTTCTCTCTGCCCTTCTTCCGCCTCCCGCGCGCGTCCGCACGTACATTATTATCTTTCTCGCGCTACGTCGCCGACTGCCGTGCGCCTGCGCCTGCCGCTGCGCGCACTTCGAGTCCGATTTCGAAATGTTTGTCCTTGCGCGCGAACTCGCCATGGTAACAGCCGGGATGCATATGGTCACTGCTCTTTGTAGCTGCGCCGTGTGCACTTTTCCTTTGCAATTTTTTTTTCTCTTTCCCCATTTCTTTTTTGTCGCTCAAACGAATCTTCCGAGTGCAAAGGATAGAGTAACAACTAAAAATGAAACGTGCGCTCGGCAGAAAAAGCAGCTTTGAAATTTTTGCAAGGGAATCGATCCGAGATCGAGGGAGAGAATCAAATCACATTCGAACGATTCGATCACATGTTCAATGCGATTGGTCAATTCTTTCTCCATTCGAGATCTCGGACAGTGGCTGTGTTCAGCAGAGAAAATAGCTTTGTAACTGTTGTAAAATTCTTAGGGCGATATAGTCACATCTTATATTCAAAACTGTCTTAAGTACGGTCTGGAGAAGTCACGAACCAATCAGAGAGCCGCATTAGCGTCTTAAGATATTACTTAAGACGGTCTTGAAATAAGAATCGACTATGAATACCGGACAGTCCGTTCTTATTTCAAGACTTTCCTAAGGCTCTGCGCAAAGAAGAAATAAGGAATTAGGAATAAAGAATAAACGATTTCAACCTATCAGAAACCGCGTATTCCGATGTATCTGATTTCTGATAGTAGCCTAAGTAATGTCTAAAGGTCCTTTGGCTGGTTCGTGACTTTGTAAGGGACTCCGCGTAATAAAAGAAATAGAAAACAGAAAATAAGAATTTTAATCTATCAGAAATCATGTATTGTGGAATACACAGGTTTCTGATAGGTTGAAATTCTTATTCTGTTACCTTTATTGTGCGAAGCCCCTAAGACGGTCTTGAATGAGGTCTGACTATGGATACCTTAAATCTGTTTCTTTCAGCCAAAGTTTTTACACGATTCATCTTTTCTCTTTTTCTCTTCAACATGGAGAGAAAAGGAAAAAGGATGAATCGCGCAAGAGAAGTTCAATGGAACAAGTCGGAATAGATTCCAATCGGAATTATTCAATTATTCCTTAGATTTCTATTAGGCCTGTTCTTTTTGGCTGAACTTTTGCGCCACTTCATCTTTCTTCCTCTTCTCTCCAGGAGGAAAGAAAAGGAAAGATGAACTGGTGCAAAAGTTCAGTCAATAAGAACAGACTTATTGTGTTTTCTAGGAAAAATGGAATAATTCGGATTGGAATTCATTTCAACATGTTCCATGATAAGTATCCAGCTAAAAAGAACAGCAGGCCTCTTCAATACGATTTATTCTTGCTTTTGGTTCCTTATGGATCTAAATGTATATAAACCAATCATATTGAAAAGTTTTACAACAGTTGCAAAGCTGCTTTCTCTGTTGAACGCAGCCATTTTTAGCATCATAAACACAATTGTAAAATCTATTCCACAATGTGCTTTTTGTTTTATGTTTTTTGCTATTATTTATCTTGTGTTTTTGTTTCTTATCCGGTTTTTTGTTTTATGTCGCCGAGATAAAAGTTAACATACTTTGGAAGAAACAGGAAACATGTAGCAAGAAATACAATTGTTGATAAAACGGCAAAGGAGGAAAAAGCAAGAGGTAAAAAGCAAGAAACAGGAAACAAATAGCACATTGTAGAATAGGCTTAGATATTCTTTAATATTATTGGACGCACATTTAGATTCTACTGAAGAATTACAATTAAGGGCAAGACCAAACATTAAAGAATTTTATAGTTGCAAAGCCGCTATTTTTACTGAACTCAACCAATAACACTCGTTAATTAGTTTTTTAATATTATATTTAGAATTCGACAGAAACTTTTACTGAAACTGAACACTCATTACGTGTCAGTTTCGACATCATGTAGCTCTTCTTCATAAATATTAATTTTAATGTGTGTAATTATTATTTCAATAATTAAATTATGATGTTTAGGAAGAAGGAGGTATTTATATTCTTTGGTCAAAATTGACACTTAACCGAAATTTCGATTTTCGATTTCGAAATTTAATTATTGTTTCAATAAATTGTAATATTTATGAAGAAAAAGTATATGATATATGCATATTAAATTAAAAGTATATGAATATATGCGCGTGTTTATACACGTGGCCTTTATAGGATACCTAATTTTTAGTTTCGGTTTCAGTTAAAATTGATATGTAACCGAATGTTTCGGTTCAGTTTCGGCAAAAGTTTCGATCGGACTCTAGTTATATTATATTTTCTGCACTGTTAAAATATAATTAACATACATCTAAACGTTGAAAAGATAAAGAGAAAAGATGTAAAATATGATTGATTATGTATTTTGAAACGAAGTGAAAATTATAAAAGTATGTAAGTTTACTAAATGTCGAACCCAGTTAAGTTAAGAAATTATAAATATTCTAGTGCGTACAGTTAGCAACTAAAAGGGTGCAATACTTTTTTAAAAATAGGTTTTGGAATGCAGCCTATTCACCGAATGACGGATTTTTACTTATGGATCCATAAGTAATAGCTAATCGCTTGGTGAACAGGCTGCATTTCATAATTTATTAAAAAAAATGTGTTGCAATCTTTTAGTTATTCTCTGTACATACATACATTCATTCATTTTTATCATTTTTACTTTGTTTTAAAATATATGAATCAACTTTACATCCTATGGTATTTATAATCTAATTTTGTATATAAGATTGTTTTAAAATTAAGTTTAAATAGTATTAAAAATTTTTTTATTAACTTATACATTTTAAATTATTTAAAAAATTTTGCAAAATCTAATTACCTGTTTGAAATATTTATATTGTTATATATATAATGTATATAATTGTAATTATAATATGTATATAATTGTACTGTTATGTATATAATTTTGTATAGAAATGTAAAACAATATGGATTACATATATTAATAACATATACAACAAATTATATATTTTTTGCATTTATATACATTAAATATATTTATGTACTACTAATAAGAAATAGAAAAAAAAGATTATTATCTTATATTGTATTAAAAAATTTACATAAAAAAAATATTATATATATAAATTTTGGAATCTAATCTTGCATCAAGATATTTATACAAGGTATATCTTTGCAGCAACAAATCAGTGGTTTGTGCCTTCGACGAAGGGAGACATTCCTCCAGGTTGTGCGGCATATGGTTTTGTTGTCGATGGTACTCGCATCTTTGTCTTTGGTGGAATGGTAGAATATGGCAAATATTCTAACGAGTTGTATGAACTACAAGCGAGTCGATGGGAGTGGAAACGTTTGAAGCCAAAACCACCTAAGCATGAACCACCACCATGTCCACGATTAGGACATAGTTTTACTCTCATTGGTAATAGGGTCTTCCTTTTTGGAGGTCTGGCGAATGACAGTGATGACCCGAAAAATAATATACCGAGATATTTGAATGATCTATACACGCTCGAACTTCTTCCTAATGGCCATACAGCCTGGGATGTGCCGCAAACGCATGGACACGCGCCACCTCCTAGAGAATCCCATACTGGAGTGGCATATACCGATCGTACCACAGGCAAGTCTTGTCTAGTGATCTATGGTGGCATGAGCGGTTGCCGTTTAGGTGACTTATGGTTCCTCGATGTTGATTCGATGACTTGGAACAAGCCAGTAGTTCATGGACCTACCCCTTTACCACGGTCACTTCATACTGCCACTTTAATCGGTCATCGAATGTATGTGTTTGGGGGCTGGGTGCCATTGGTCGTCGACGATGTTAAAGTCGCGACACACGAGAAAGAGTGGAAATGCACAAGCACGCTAGCATGCTTGAATCTAGGTAAGTCTTACTTTCTGTTTTACTTCTTCTATTTTACTTTCTTTATTCTTTTGCATTTTATAGTGTTATATAAAACAATATATGCAAAAGAAGGACAAAGCCAGTAATGTAGTAACAAATTTTAATTAAATTAAAATTCAATCATAAATTACAAAACGACAAACAAATGTCGACTCCGCTCGAGTCATTTTCAATATTGCGGTAATATTCAAACATCGCTATAAAAATATCTATGGTATTACATTCTTCATATCATGTAGTGCCTTGCGAGTCAGTTATATCAGAATTCAAAGTAGTCAGAAAAACATTCTAGAAACGTGACCGTGAACAAAACATTAATACTTGATACATGCGAATTAATAATACATATATAATGTAATCATGTACCTTGTCAATACTGGTAAAAGTGTTGAGAGTTCATAATAAAAAAGAGAGAAAACGCAGATAGATGGTAATCCACATTGCACAATGGTTTTTTTTTTAAATTTGAAGCAAATTTGCAAGAGTAGCGAAAATCTGACTTCCACAATATCGAATAACGCAATGTCGAAAAGAAAAACACTAATCGGGAACAGAAAACGGCAAAAAAGAAGGGGAAAAAAGGAAAGAAGATATTAGGAAAAAGAAAGAAAAGGTATAATGCTAGAATACGCTTCGGGCAAAGACTCCGTGTCATTTTGTCTGTTTATTCCATGTTTCTGTTTTTTAATGTATACCATTTCAGATATTAATCTTTTATCATATGATGATTCTATATCTAGTCCACTTTATCCCATTTAAAATTTGTGATTCTCCTCCATACGGAGGTTAGAGATCATCGATGGAGATTTTGAACTTATATTAATATCTGAAACATGTTTATGCAGTCTAGTCTTTAACTGTCTTTTAGTCTCGCCAACGTAACTAACATCACAACTCTCACAGGATATTCTGTAAACCACATTTTGATTATGTACATGTTCCAGCCTATCTTTTCTCTCTTTATAAAATTTTTTAATGTGTTAGGGATGGTGAAGGCCAATTTACAATTAAACATGTTAATGATAGGTGTGAATCTTTCAGATATTGCATTAACGTATGGAATAGTAAAAAACTTTTCTGTGTTATCCTTGTTATTCTTCAAACTATTAATGTTATTAATATGAAATTTAATTCTATTATGAATAGTCGAGAAAATAAAATGTAGAGGATATCTATTCTTTAAAAAAATATTAATAATGTCAATTAAATTATTTTGTTGGAACTTCCGATGACACAACCGAAAAATCTTTTGTGACAAAGCGGATGGTGTGAATGGAAATTAAGATATCTACCGGAAAAGGTTGTCTTCCGATATACATCGAAAATAAGCCTCTGTTCATCTATGATCAACATGGTATCTAAAAAACTTATTCAGATTAGGAGTTGTGGATAAGATTTTTCGGTTGTGTCATCCGAAGTTCCAACAAAATAATTTAATTGACGCTATTAATATTTTTTTAAAGAATGGATATCCTCTACATTTTATTTTCTCGACTATTCATAATAGAATTAAATTTCATATTAATAACATTAATAGTTCGAAGAATAACAAGGATAACACAGAAAAGTTTTTTACTATTCCATACGTTAATACAATATCTGAAAGATTCACATAATAAAAGATTAATATCTGAAATAGTACACATTAAAAAACAGAAAAATGAAATAAACAGACAAAATGACACGGAGTCTTTGCCCGAAGCGTATTCTAGCATTATACTTTTCTTTCTTTTTCCTAATATCTTCTTTCCTTTTTTCCTCTCCTTTTTTGCCGTTTTCTGTTCCCGATTAGTGTTTTCCTTTTCGACATTGCGTTATTCGATATTGTGGAAATCAGATGTTTGCTACTTTTGCAAATTTGCTTCAAATTTAAAAAAAAAACCTTTGTGCGATATGGATTACCATCTATCTGCTTTTCTCTCTTTTTTATTAATGGACTCTCAACACTTTTACCGATATTGACAAGGTGATTATATTATATATATATTATTAATTCGCATGTATCAAGTATTCATGTTTTGTTCACGGTCACTTTTCTAGAATATTTTTCTGACTACTTTGAATTCTGATATCTGAACTGACTCGCAAGACGCTACACGATATGAAGAATATAATACCATAGATATTTTTATAGCGATGTTTGAATATTACTGCAACATTGAAAATGACTCGAGCGGAGTCAAAACGTTTGTTTGTCGTTTTGTAATTTATGATTGAATTTTAATTTAATTAAAGTTTGTTACTACACATTACTGGCTCTTTGCCCTTCTTTTGTAAGTATAAAATATATTATTTTATACTTACAGAGCCTTATTATTATTTATTAGTGTTATATAAATTAAAGTAATCTTTAAATTTCTAAAATTATTTAGTCAATAAAAGATGATAAAATTTTACTGTTGAACATACAATTTGATATATTAAATGGATAATCTAATCAATGCAGTTCAGAAGATAAAAATATTATTAAATGTTACTGTTTCAGAAACTCTCACTTGGGAACAATTGACTGTTGATTCCTTGGAGGAGAATGTTCCTCGTGCTCGTGCTGGTCATTGTGCAGTTGGTGTACACAGTAGACTTTATGTATGGTCTGGTAGAGATGGTTATCGCAAAGCTTGGAATAATCAGGTTAGGATTAATTAGAATAGCATGATTTTTGATTGGATGATATACTATTGTATTAACGAAATGATTCTTTTTTTTTGGTCTAGGTTTGCTGTAAAGATCTGTGGTACCTTGAAGTTAGTAAACCAGCGGCACCTTCCAGAGTTCAGCTGATTAGGGCTTCCACGCAATCGTTGGAAGTCAGCTGGACAGTAAGCCCGTCCGCGCAATACTATATTCTTCAAATACAAAAGTATGACATGCCTCCAGTAGCGGCAACTGGTAGTGCCTATCCGTTGGTAAGCGCACCGACGCCGACTGCGCCTATCGTCAGCACTCCTGTTGCGATAACAACCTCCACAATGGTAGCAACTCCTGCAACTGTACCTGTCACATCTCCGCCTGTGACTACTATGGCCGCTCTTCCAACGACTACACCACCTGTTGCTGCCGCCGTCAGAGCTGCATCCGTTGCGACAGCTGTGGCAACGGCAGTAGCAACTCCATTACGAGTTCAAAGTGCAAGTCCTGTGCAAAAACCAGTACCATCGCAAGCAGTGCAAAAGTCGACAAGTCCTATGACCCCGAGAGTCGCAACCGGTAACGTCATACGTATTCGGTCTCCTCTGGTCACTTCCTCAGCAGCAGTGGCTACAGCAGCAATGGCAGTGGTTACCACTGAGCAGCAGCAAACAACTGTTACTACTATCACTACTACCACTACAACTACGGCTGGTCAAACGCCCGCTGCCATGTCTGGAATTGCTGCTTTGGCCGCAGCCGCAGCAGCCACTCCAAAAATTACTATGAACAATGTTTCGATCGTGCCACAAACTGCAGTTGCGGCTGCGACTGCATCCAACACTATCAGAATGAAGAACGTACAGCCGGGTCAGCAAATACGTTTCGCTGCACCTGGCGCGACAGTGTTGCGTACTGCTTCACCACAGCAGAGCAAGCAGATCATACTGCAAAAGCCCGGCCAAAATATAGCTGGTCAACCACAGATTGTGCATCTTTTGAAAACTGGACAAGGAATGGTAGTACCTAAGGTAAGCCTTATCCCGGGCAAAAGTGTCCAAACAACCGGCGCGAAACCTCTTAATCAGGGACCGACAATACTGCGATTAGTAAATCCTAATACGGTTGCGGGATCAAAAATCCTCACGACTATGAAAACGTCCAACATAGTGGCGATGAGCAAAGGACAGAACATTACGGGCAAGCAAACCATAATGATCACTAAACCGACAGGAAATAGTGGATTAGTCGGCAGAACCAACCAATTTATCGTTGTTACCACAGGCTCTGGTCTAAGAGCTGTACAAGCTGTAACAACATCACAAGCTGGTGCAGGACAAGGAGCTACTTCTGTAGCTACTCCTGTAAATGTTTTGCCATTATCAGCTACCAATCATGTCACGAATCAACAAGGAGTCAAAATGATTGTTGTTTCCTCTGGTGCGATGGGCGGTGGAACGGCTGGAAAACCTTTAACCATCACAGTTCCAGGACAAGGCGGTGTACCAAAGACAGTGACTATTGCTGCGAAGACCGGTGCGCAAACCATCTTTAATACTGGCAAGAATCAACTCGTTACAGTACCACAGATACAAAAGGCACCTGTAAGTGTAACAACAAACATTTACGTATTTTTTTACAAGATATGAACTAAATTATTACTAAACAATGATAATTAGCATATAAGAATTCTTTATAAGTGTTTGTCAAACTGTAGGAAGCCGTAGCTGTATCTGGAAAACCAGTGACTTTGCAAATGCCCGCGGGTATAAGCGCAAAGACGGTGACGCTTTTACCAACAAGTAGTAGCTCCATAGTTACTACTTCTAGTGCGTCAGATTCAATAGACGCTAGCAAAATGCTGTTTGTTTCATCGCAAAAACAACCATCAGCTTCTCTGGGTGGGTAAAGTTATATTGCGATAGCATAAAACGATGAAAATTATTTATGACATTAATTTACACGATAAAATAATATTTTAGCATCTACTTCTGATGGGCCTGCTACTACTGATGCTGCATTAGCTGCATTAGCGGCAGAAGCTGGTCTGATAGATCCGGTTCAGGAATCATCTGGTGGTTTATCATTCATGGTAGCTACGGATGATGGTGCCGGCGGTGATGATAAAATGGAAGATAGCTGTAATGGTAACGAAGCGAGCACAGCGGCTGCTTTAGTTTCTCAGATGAGTGCAGGAGAACCAATGCAAGTTGACGGTGACGGAAACTTTGTGCTTCCGCAAGTAGATGGTCCGATAGACGATCTCTTACTAGAAGATGAAGAAAAAATGGATGTAGATGAGGAACCTGCTGCGGAAAATGCTACTGAATTGTCTAACGCTGAATCGGCAGAAATAACAGAACAAAATGTTGATGTATCCGAAAATATTCAAACGGAGGAATCGGCTGTAAAAGAAGTTGCCGAGGCTGGAGAAAAGAATGAAGGAGCGACAACAGCCGATCTTCCTGAATCGATTACCACTAGTGAAACTGAGAAAGCTGAAAATGTTGATAATTCATCAGTAGATGATAAAGCAGCTATGGAAATTAATGCTGATGATTCAGAGTTACCAAGTGAAAAAGAGGAGATAAAGGATTCTCAATCAGTAGTCGATGATGAAAAAGTAATAAAATCCGAATTGCCTTTAGTACAATCAGCCGTTGAGGCTTCATCTGAACAGACTTCTCTAACGGACGTTGTGAATCCAACAACGGAAATCAACGAAACTCAGCAAGATGAGGATAGCCTGGTGAAAGACATTAAGTGTGAGTCGTTGTCTGAAAACGAAAAATCGCTAATATCTGAAAATCTTACCGAAGACACAGCTGCATCGCAACAACCCCAAGACGATACTCAGAAAATTGAGATAAAAGACGAAATTGAAGACCTGGAATCTGATCTTCCAACCGAGAGTTCTCTTATAAAATCAAACGAAGATGATGAACCGATGATTACTGATAATAGTACAGCGATTGCGGCAGATAATGTAATAACCCCCGTTATTATACCAACCATTCAAATGAAATCAGAGCCGGAAGATGAATTTATAAAACACGAACAGGCCATATTGCCCGATTTGCCCATATCACCGATCAATGGTGTCGCTGCACCTGTCGAGAAAGAAGTGGAAAAAGTACATACTCCCATGAAAATGGAGGTAAAAGATGACTTTGTCATTTCAAAGAAAGAAAATCTTCAAAGAGAGAAACAAGAAAAAATTAATGATGCTAGATCAGAAACAGGAGATGATTCAACAGCTTTGACAACATTAGCTACTGCTGCTTTAGGATCGTCGGCAGAACCAACGATGAAAATAAAAAATGAACAGGTAGATTTTATGAATTGTCTGTATTATTTTATTATTATTTTAAATGAAATACAAATATTGTTATTAACTTTTTTTTTTTATAGAGCGAAGAAGAAAAGAAAGAGGCAGAATGGTATGATGTGGGAGTGATAAAAGGAACTTGTTTTACTGTTCAGCATTATTATCTTCCTGGTGATGAGCCATTAGATGTAACACAGAATTTAACAATGGATGTTTTTAAAGGAAGAACTAAAATAGCAGTAGAACCAGGAACTGCCTACAAGTTTAGAGTTGCCGCTGTGAATAGTTGTGGACGAAGTCCTTGGAGCGAGGTAACCAATTCAATTTTATATTTAGCGACATTCGATAGGTAGAAAGAGAAGTTTTTTTAACAGAGAAAAAAATCTGCGAATTTGATTGTAAACCCTCACTTTCGTTATAGGTAGCGGCATTCAAGACGTGTCTTCCGGGATTCCCGGGCGCACCGAGTGCTATAAAGATATCAAAATCTGTAGACGGTGCACAAATCTCTTGGGAACCACCTTCTAGTAACGTTGGGCCCATTCTCGAATATTCCGTCTATTTGGCAGTGCGAAGTACCGCGTTGAACAATGACGGAGAACCAAAAACAGTTGTGTCGAATCCAAATCAGTTAGCTTTTATTAGAGTTTATTGCGGTTCGAGTAATTCTTGTTCGGTGAACAATAGTGCCCTTAATGCCGCTCACGTAGACACCACTACGAAACCGGCTATAATCTTTAGAATAGCAGCACGAAACGACAAAGGATACGGACCAGCCACTCAAGTTAGGTGGTTGCAAGGTTAGTCGCGCAATTTGTCTTAACGAATTTTTTCAAAGGAATACACCTGAACAAACACTTTGTTATTAGCAGATCCAACCACTGCAGTGAAAAGTAATTCGCAAGCGAAGAGACCCGCTAGCACAGATCTACGCTCGCAAGTGACTTCTCCACAGAAGAAGATGAAAACGGAACCACCTAGTGATAATTTCTCGTGAGCCTGTTATCTCCCTGGCCTCGTACAGCCGAAACTCCTATAAGCAACGTTACTCATTATTTAATTTCTATATGCCTAACAACGATAATGAAATCAATGTATTATCAGCTAAATGACGTGATATACAAGTAAGCGAAAGATATGAACGTGCGATAAGAAACGACGAGAAAACGGTGGAAGGAGAGAGAAAGAGAAAGAAAGAAAAAAGAGGTATCCGTAGACTCAACCTATGTGTAAGAATTGGAAGAGCAAAGTATTCTTTAGTGTTCAGTATGAACGTCAACGTCTTTCTGTACTACGTTTCTTACTCGTCATCCTATTTTTTCGTAAGAGTGCGCGAGAATCTTTTCCGTAAAGACATAAGTACCGTTAATGGCGACATGGTTATTTTTTGGAGTTAAGTAAGTTTTTTCCATGTTTATAGCGTTTTCTAACGAACGGTACGACATATCGCATCTAAATGCTCATACTTGCATCACGTAAGAACACGGCTGGCATGTTCATTTATGATTTTCTCATTATCTGGCAATAGATGAGTTCAATGTATGACATTGTATGGGAATGAATAACCGAACAAGATTCATGTTCGACATTTTACATACATTTGTTTACACAATTATATATATATATATATGTATATATTACATATATATATATATATTATATATATTACACACATATATATTACACATATATATATATATATTACATATATATATATATGTATATATATATATGTATATATATATTTGATAAAGATGTCTATTTTAAACATCCAAATTCTTTATAATATATTTATCATTGATAGAGTATCTGCATTCTTTTTGCATTCACCATTATATGCAGAGTAAGCTCGCTTTTGAAATGTAGGGTATTTAGTGTACATAAAATTCTCGCACTGAAAAATTGTGTTTATCGCATTCTGAAGTAATAAAATACTTTTTCATAAGATAGAATAATTGGGAGATATATGTATTGTCTAACCTTGATTAATCTCCTATTTCAATCTGCTCGTTTATGTTTTAGTTTCACGCAGTAACGGAAACTTTTATTGTCATCGATCAAGTTTTACGTGACGATCGATGCTATATATTATTCCGATACTTTTGTGTTACTGCCAAATGCGACAGGAATATGTTATCGATACTAAGAAGCATCCCGTAATATAAAATTATCTATTAAACATGTGTAATATTAAGTTACTTGTATGCTTTTGTCAAACAATTGCAACGATGCAGAGATATTTTGTATAATATATCTATTAAATGAATTATACTATATATGTAATTAATGAATATCTTTAAGAATCGGGCACTAGAATGGTTATTCATATTTTAGTGGATAAAAGAAAACTTCACACATGAAAAGTTAAGGATATTTTTAGACAGCAACGAAACAATTGTTTGAATATTGATATATCTGAATAACTGTAGGCTGTATATCCTTAACATAAATTCTAATCTTTTATAGCTCTAAGACAAATAGCAAATATTGGACAATTAATCGCGCGAAGGAAAGGTAAGAGAAAAAGATACAATATCGTTTTAGAAAGGAGCGCACATGTAATATTCCTCTAACACTTTTTTTGAGCATAATATTATATTTTAATCAAAATACTGGATAAGCTTTTGATAAGTGGAAAAGTTTACGAAAGCTGTCGGTAGTCTCATTTCTCTCAGTTGACTTTGGGGCTATGTTAAAGCTGCAATAATTTAAGCGTATATTTTTATTTTAGATTATCCATATACATATGCTTTCCGTTATCCATATATGTCATAAGCAAATAGAACACCATTTACTAACACAGCGTTCCAAACGCTCAATTTGTTATATTGACGTTTTACGTTTACAAAGTTTACTAGGAAATCTGTATGTTATAGAAAGATTATCTCCAATGGAGGGTACTCTCGTAGTACCAAAGAATTTTAAATTAAATGTACAATTGCAATTGTTTATCTTTTACATGGATTCTTATACTCGACATCTTTAGAAACATTGCCTGGAAATGCAGATGAAGACATAGTGTGTATAATGTAAATGGGATAACTAAATGGTATATACATTTTAAATGCATTGTTTTAATATTGTTCGTGCTGATCCTCTATGTTAAAAAAAAAAAACGAGAAAAAATAGAACGACTATCTGTATCTAATCAATAAGGAGTCAGCTGTTTAATTTTGTTTATATATTTTGTTGACAGGAGATGACACTAATCTATATCTGTGTCTGTATACACAAGTCTTGTGTATAAAAATATCTTGGATTGTCACTACAACCATGCGTCTTACCGGTATCCCTTTCTTTGTAAATCGCCTGCTACTCTACTGCATTTATACTCTTCACCGAAGTATGTCGTGCAAATAAATATAGATAAATTTCTTATACGATATACAATCTTTACCTTCATTATGCTTTATACCAGATTGTATGAATTATGGACACTAGAAAAAAAAACAATATATTTTTATGTTCTTATAAAAATGTATACATGTGTTATGCTTCAAAATTGAACAAATTGCTTGATTTTAATTTAGTCACTTTTCTTATAGTAATTAACTTTTTGTTTTCTGTATTATAAACTTTCCATTTCACGAATTTGTATTTTGTTTTTTCTTTACGTATAAACACTATAAATTTTATTGCAAAAATACTACAGCGACAACAATAAAAATATTACAAAATTTATTATAGTTATTGATACCTTCAAAATACTTTATGTTTTTGAGAATTAATGTCTTGTTTGGCAGTAACGAATCATACATATTTATTGAATTCCTGTCTCATTTTATTCAATCATAATCGAGCAGAATTGTTATACAAAAAAAAAACACGAATAGAATTGTTACGTTTCCTACTGATATTAGTGATTTAAAAAAATAATATTAAAAATAATATTACTTCAGTAATTAATAACACTGAGACATATACTAAATTGGGCGAAGTTAATTAGACATTTTCATAATAAATTATTATTTTAATTTCTAATTTACTAAAGATAGAAAATAATGATTGGCAAATACATAATTTATTTACTATCTTATTTTTATATACCGATTGAAAAGATTCTCAATCTGATTGAACTAATCTGCTGTACGAGAGACCAAAAGATTCAAGTCAGCGTCGGACCATGACTTTCCTACAAATCCTTTTTCTATACTAAATCTTAATCGTATATTTAAAAATTCGCAGGTTATTAGAAAACACCGATAAAAAGATTATGGTGAAAGTGATTATTACGCGCTATATAATAGGATAATAAAAGGTTGCGATGATATTTCGATGGATATAATTTAGCGCGTTGTGGATAATGTGTGCTAAATGGATGATATTGCACTGCATGAAACCTGCAACGATATTAAGCGGATTTGTATTTTTTGATAAGGATTTCCGGTTCGATGTACCTACACGTGTCGCCGGACAAAAATTAGATACTCTTGATTGTGAGTGTATCTAATTGATTTATAATAGTACATCACACGACGAAAGTTTCGCAATATATAGTGATGAGTATATAACTACTATGCCGTTTTGTAATAAGAGCTATAACTATGTAAATTGGAATGATGCGTGCGAGAGAATTATAAAAAGATGTGTGTAGAAAGCGCATATATAAAATTAAATATACGTAACAAATTACAAGTAAGGAAGTGAAGATTGTAATTGTTAATTACAATCCTTTCTCTCTCGTATACATCTTCTAAGGATTTACAATGAATCACACTGTAAATAAGTCCTTCGAATAACATTAGATAATAATCGGATATCGCTATATTTACGGAACTGGCGTGCCTAATCGCAGACCCGATGCACATATTTTTTTTATCACAATATTCTAACTATATATTCAAAATTTGTATTTATATAAAACACCTGTTCCATTTACTTACTTTTTTTTCCTTTGCATAACGATGAATGTAACACAATAAGTTCGGAAAAAATCGTTCAAAGTGAAAAAGAATCTCTATGTTCAATATATTTTTTACATTGTTTTTCGTATCTTTTTAATATAAGAGAATATAGAAAATTATTCATCCTATCTAAATATATATATTAAATATATTTAATATATATATATATATTAAAATATTTATTACGTTATACTTATTTGAATGAATACGATGTCATTAAGTAGGGTCTGCGATTGACAGCAGAAAAATAAAGACGCATGGTTAGCCTAAGGAATTACGAAGGAACGAATTGCTTTTTCATTGAATCATTTGTACATCTAATATATGGAAGAGACATCAAATATCTATTCGTTCGTCTAACGTGGCTTTGCAGATTATTTTTAGAACTGATTAGTGCAATATTTTCCAACTGCAGAGTCTAGACAAGAAATATCGTCGCTTTTGTCGCACGAATTTAATACACAATACAATAAATGCAAACTCTCACTGTAAATTGCATCGCAATTTTCACAATTGCGTGTGTAGCACATGTGCTACCGATCACTGACAATAAATCATTTAAAAAGAAGAAATTAATTGAATTTGTCGATGGCAAATACATTTAGTTTCAATTCGTAGACTTTCAATAATCATTGAAAAATTCATCTGTAATTTCCAAATTAAGGTAAAAATCAATTAAACTTTACATCTTTGCCATTCGATTCACCGAATTACGTTATAAACATTACGTAGAAACGTTATCTTACGTTACTTATCGTACGTATCTTGTGATTATTTCGATCGAAGTAAACTTGATCTTTTCCTCGCAATAGATAAACAAAAACGATGTAACGACCGGCTCACGTTTCCCAGCAGTATCAGTATAATCAAGAAACACAGATCACGATACAAATGATCCTTAATTAATTCCAGCGTCTGACACGCAATGATGCAAAAAACACAAGAAAGCCGTTAGAGAAATTTATGATAACATTTTATTTCTCTTAAAACATATATGTATAACCGAGCATTGTAAAGAAGTATTGTATAGAATGTGAAAAGGCGATAAAAGAAAATGTTGCGTACTCGGTTTGTTCACTTTCGAAAAACAACCTTCACGCGACTCTAACGCATTATGAAGCATCAATACGGAGTACATCGCTATGAATAAATTAACAATACCGGATGTTCGGAAAGTAGTGATTGTTTTCCGCTTGAAAGAAACGAATAAATTGCGTACTCGTGCATTTATTCATTTTCAATAATGATTATGGCTTGGATTTATTTCAACTGTATAATTTATTGAAATTATTCATTGTATAAACATTAGGTATTATATAAGATATGAAATTAATAGAGAGAGAAAAAAAAATAGAAAAGATAAACTCGAACATGAATAAATTAAATCAAATTAAATAAGTCCTAAAATTGATGGAAACATAGCCGTGTTCTCTTTTTATTAATTCGAATATATTTTGTATATGATAAGTGATATTAATAATCGAATGTTGAAGAAAGTATAAATCAAGTCCGCAGTTATTCAAAATGACGATATAAATTAATCGGCTCACATTACTAACGATATTACTCGATATTCTCGCGTCAGATGATCGATAAAAATTTATGAATACGCGTCGAATTTCCATTTTTCTAAGATTTGACGAAATCAAAAAAGTAGATTGATAAAATTGTGTAAAATAGAGTCTCTATAAGAGGAGAAAATACTGCATAAATG